GGGTATGGTTACAGGCAGCACAATACAGTACAGAGAGGTCAGCACGGTTTGTACAGTATTTAGCAGTGTTTCCAAACTTTTCTGGCTCATGACCCCTTACCCCACAATCAGTGGTGACTTTAAAGAGGTGGTATTGTGCTTTTTGCCTTTTTCCCTCTCCTTTACTGAGTTATATTCCTTTTTTGTGCATGTAACATGTAACGTCCTGAAAACAGCTCGTTTGCTTCAATTTCATCACTGTGACGTCACAGGGATGAAAGCTAAACGCGCCTCCTATAACGCTCGCCAAGCGGCTACTCCAACACGACCTCAAAAACACAAGTGGAAAAACACTGAGCTGCTGCACACACCTCCTCTCCCTTCCAAACACTAGCTACCCTCCAGGCAGTCAATGGGCATACATTTGTTACAGATTAATAACTCACCACTCTGAAACTCATGCTCCAGCCAAGCTGGTTGGCAACATGTGTTTGCTTCCCACTGACCCGCCCTTCTCTGCTTCCTTAACTAGGAACTGCACACTGCCCAACAAAGATCATTTAGAGACAAGATGTATCACGTAAAACAAAGCATTCAACACAAGGCTTTTTCATCCAGCAATGTGTAGTATGAAAAAAAATGGTGTTTTATGAAAATTAAACCATGTAAACCTGTTCTGGTACAACCCCTACATAGGATTTTGAACCTGAAAATGAGCATAATACCACCTCTTTAATAGGTCACACATGTACAATCAAATGCAATCCAATACAGCAGCCTTGCCACAACATCTATCTTTGTGAGTTTTATAATGTTCTGTTTTTGGTGACTTTGTAACACCTAACAAAAAACCACTACATTATAAGTATCATAAGAGTAGACTTTAAGGCAGAACAGTTGGATTGGATTGCATTAGATTCATGTACCTAATAATTCGGACACTGAGTGTATGTCTACTTACAAGCCCTTGTCATAGCTTGCACATGTCTAAATATTGCGACCACTTAAACATAAAAATGAATATTTCTTCTCAGATTTTTTTTAATAAATAAAAGCAAAATGCATCCATGCTGCTCTATCCTGTGGCCTCTCAGCCACTTACCAATTTGTCTTGCAACTCCAAAATATACATTATCTGTAAATTTACAACAATATTAGTAATCTGTGCTAGTTAAATGTATCAGAGAAGTTGGACACTGTGGTTGCCCTAAACTAATTCTTAAGATGTAATTTGAATAGATTACAGAAATATTCTGTTATTACACCCACCCACCCTTGGACTTACCACCACTTTGCAGATTCCTGCCACTTGCATACAAATGAGCAATCGTGAACCCCCAGTGGACACAGGGTATAGTGCATCTGCTTCAGTGAACTATAGCCAAACAAACATTATCAATGGGCCCAGGAGCACATGTATGGATCCCCTCTGCTACCTGAAAACATCTGCAGTGAGCCAGTCTGGAAAAGACCCAACATCAGCAGCAGAACCTGCTTCACACACAGGTACACACACGTTCCATCAAACACAGGATATTAATGCCATGTGGGAAAAGAGCTTTAGTGACTGGTTGGCTCTCTGTCTGAGATCTGATAGGTTGGCTGGCTGGCCAGCTAGGCAGACCAGAGAAAGTGTTTTTTTTTCCTCCAGAGTGAAAGTACAGCCGCTGTCCAAGAGCCTGCTGTTTGTTATTCTCTCTGTAATTAGGCAGATTCAGGGCTGCCAGTAGCATACACATACATCCACACCAACCTGCGTGCTTGTCATATTTCCTCTAGTTGATAAGGACTGCAGGAAGATGTTCTTCATGAACAGTAGAATAAGAAATGAGACATAAGGGACGTAGATATTCCCCCCTGGTGTTCAGAAGGGTCACAGATTGTCACAAACACATTTGGAGCTTGTTTGGTAACCAAAATATGATGAAATAGATACATAAAAGATATGAAACAATGTAGTCAGAATTCCATTCCATTGTATTCCTTTTTTTATGGAATACACCACCTGTCACTCATTGTTACAATGCTTTTTTGCACGCACCTGACTTCAAAGTGTGAGAACAAAAAGGAGGAGAGAGCCCTCCATCTCCAAATGTGAAGAATGCCACCGATTTCACAGCCCTAATAGATTCTCTGTGCATTTAGTTTAAAAAATAAACCTGGCAAAAAAGGACAAAAGACATCTAATCCTGTTTCATAAACACTATTCATAAATGTGCAGAAAACACTTCACACAGAGAGTGAGGACTCCAAAATCACTTTTTATCACCTCCCTGGCTCCAAAGTGATTAAATTCATTAAACTCTTTTCAAATAATTGCAGCTCATCAACAGCAGAGTAAATATTCAGTTAATAGTGCCTTTCAGCTAACTGTGATTCCTTCAATCCATCGTGCATAGCCTTGCATGTCTCGCTGTCATTAATTAAAATTTCTCTTTGGAGGTCAATTTAATTTCCTTTAACTATATATTAGCCCCAATCCAGGGCAGCACAAGCATCTTCCTATGCAGTTGTCGTGTGTGTGCTGAGAGTCGGTGGGGGAGGGTTAATCTTTCTCTTTGCTTTCCTCCTGGGCAGAAAGTGGGTTTAAGCTCTCTCTGTGTCAAGGTGGCGAGCTGAGCTGTGGCGAGCCGAAGCAGAAGCTCTTTACCAGTCTCCGTAGCGTGTTTGGCCAAGGCTGACTGGCTGCCAAACAGCCAGAGACAGAGCGGGGATGAATCAGCACTGACAAGGTGAAGCCAGCTTCGTGTTCACTAGCTGACAGCTCAGGTGCTCAGAGAGATGGAGACACAACAGATTACATTTAGGCAACTGCAGAGAGAGAGACAGAGAGAGAAAGGAAAAGAGGGGGAGATAAAGCAGGAGAGAAAGACCAAAATGGCTTTTGGACTCTTTGGAAACTTCTTGAAAAATAAATGAGAAAGATGAAATGGTTTGTGTGGGTGTTAAAGTATAGTGGTCCTTTATAGCCTACCAAAAGTGTAATGCAGCAACAGATTAAGCAACATAAAAAAAGCCTATATGGTTTCCTGTTTTTGGTGCAAGAAGAATTAAGCATCAGTTTCTGTTTTTTATGCTTTGTTATCTGTGATATCTGCAACACTGATCCAATCTACTGCCTTTTCAAAATCATGGATTGACTTTCCTTTCGTCCGAGGTCTTTGGGTGTACATGCCCAACACATTCTCACTCCCGACTCGTCACATATTGACGCTTTGCCAAGGCCCTTTGGCATCACATTTTAACGCCCTGGGTACCCCTTTTGCGTCATTTTTAGACGGTTAAGGCTCCGTGGTCAAGTTAGCAATGCTTAGCAACAACAAATATGCAACGTCCGGTAAAGTTAGAAACAATAAATATGCAATGTCTGAAACATCGCCATTTTGAAACGGCACGTTATTTAAGTCATGAAACTTGCATTTGGGTTAGGTTTAGGCAACAAAACGACTTGGTTAAGGTTAGGAAAAGATCATGGTTTGCGTTAAAATAACACGTAAGTTAACTTATGCCATTTACGTAATTCCCGTAAAAAATATTTAATGTTGACTTTTTGTTTTATACAGGACACCAACACCACTTTCCTGGTTCAAAGTCAGGCTTCTGGCCCTCCATCCACCCCAACCACCTCTTTACTCAGTCTTTTCTGTTAAATATCATATACCTAGATTACCGTCAAAAACTGGCACTACAGGGCTTCCCCCACTGCGTTAAACTATGACACTATAGGGATCGCCAGCGTTACAAACTGACACCGATGGGTCTTGCGTCCATATGTGACGAGTCAGGGAGTGAGAACAGGTTGGCCCACATACTTATACTTGAGTAGATGTTTTGGGAAGAATATGTAATGTATTGTGTGTGTATGACTGCAGACACAGTCGCAAGGTGGCCCATCTCTAACTAATCTTTCCAGAAGCATTGTTCTAGAGAAACGACATTGAGCACTGTCCCTTAATGTTTGAGATGTAACCCTAAATAACACACTGTAATTCTCTCTCAACTACCCTCTACTTCCCTCTGATTCATCCTAATAGCAATAAAATTGTGCCATTGTGAGTGATGCCTTACTCCGGACACACTGCAGGGTAGCTGCTCTCAAAGTGAAGTCCTTGAGGGAGCAGCAGGGGAGTCCTTGCAAAAAGAGGAATTGTTAAATTTAATTTTTATTTCAAGTAGATATTATACCATTGTGAAAATGTATGAGTGACTATTCTAAGCACCGGTTTCGCTATGAATTCTATTATTTTCTCTGAACACAGACAGATCTACAATTCTATTCTAAATGACTAACTCCTCCAATAAGAGGTCTGAGTACCAACATCTGATCAGACAGGTGGCATAACATGGGTCTATTTTTAGATCTGTTTTATGAAGACATCTACTGTAGCAGTGTATCATAGGTGGTATGTGTCCTATATGCTTTATCTTTGCCCAAGGCTAACCCTGTATTCACTGCTGGCACGTAAACATAAACTCATAATAACATTAATCTCACCATGCAACTGTGCACTTTTCAAAAGCAGCCCATCTGTGAAGGCTTCCCAATTAGCTGCTGTCATATGGCACAGGATGAAACAGATTTCTGATACACACTGTCCTTGGTACACCACTGTACAGGAGAAAATAAACAATATGTTCAACTAATCTGCTGTTAAGCTGCAGGATTTCATCTGTAAAGCACTTATGATAATGTTAAGGCTTTTCTTGGACCAAAATACAACCATTGTGCATCTCTGAATAGGTCAATTGTTCTGTATTTTATCTCCAGGAGAGTGTTCGTTGGACAAATAGCTCACATTGTCTACCAACACAAATAGCAGTCAGGAGCATCGATCAGGGATACACACCTTATCTACAAGAGCTCTGAAACAACAACCAGCACTATAGTGACTAGCATTACAGCAGTGTAGTGCAACATCTTAGAGACGCGACCAGCAACAAAAAGAGAGTCAACAATGCTGCAGCATCCATCAAGCAGACAGCAGAGAATAGTGTGTGTGTTTGCATTTGCGTGCATTTACCTTGCGTCCGCCTGTGTTCAGCTTTATGGGCGTGAGGAAGGGGTCAAAGATCATGTGGCTGGTCTCGATGTTGACTGGTGACTGCCTCTTCCCCACCGAGCACAGGTTCCAGGCCGAGTTTACCAGCCCCCAGAACGACGGCACTGCGACACAAAAGACAGAGCAGGTGTTTAAAAGGGTGAGCATCTGCACCAACGAGATAGGAGCGCATTCCACAAAGAGGTCACAGTGACGGGCAGCATTTTTTTTAATTCTGGCCTGCCAGACTCACAGTGGGAGAAGTGTAATTAGCAGGGTTCAACTCGCGTGGGCTTTTGGTAGTCTGTAGCAGTACTCTGGGAGTGAACCTGCAGATGGTTCCTAGATTATATTTCTCTCAACATTTTTCTAAGATTTCTCACAGGATTTTGTTCATTTTGTTTTTTTTATTCCTGTTGTGTAAATATCATCATCAAACCTCTTTTTTGTGATCATTGTTATAGAGTTGGAACATGGGTCAGTAGAATATCTTGTTTTGGTCTGCTTTAGTGTTGTTAATGTTCCTATACTCAAACCTTGTGCACAGGAGTAATAGGAACATAAATCAATACATGCAGACATACATGCACATTATGTACTGTATATGCCGCCAATTGTAATTTAAAGGAATGCAAAAAGTACATAAATAAAAAAGCAAAATCACTTATTTAACCATAACCAATAATTAATACACAAAATAAGCTGCTTCTAGTTGACAACCCAACTCCTACCCCCATTTTTTTTATTTTCATTAATTCATTCTGCCATCACCCATTCACCCATTGTACACAAGACAATAAAAGCAAAGGCAAAAATCATACATTTAGACAAACTTCTGAATGTATAACCAAAACGTACACCCCTTCAAGACAATAACCAGGCTAATGAACTAAAATTTCAAAACCATAACTCCATTTTTCAAAAAGCACACCCATTTCTCTAAACTCTACACACAAATCCCTTCATTTCTCATTGCCTACACCATGTGTTCATTGAGAAAGCACTATCATTCAATATTGTTCACTGTATCAGCAAAGCTTGAGCTGAAATAGCACACAGCTACCCAGGTGGAAACACAAACTGTCAAAACTGATAACGCACCAATCAGAACCTTCAGTAGATAGATAAAGGGGCCAGAGTCAGTTCAGTTTTGGAGCAATGGATCAAGAGAAATCTGAAGGAAGAGGTAGAGGACACCGGAGAGGAGGAGGAGGAAGAAGAGGAGGAGGAAGAGCAGTATGGAGAGGAATAAGAGGTGAAGGAAGAGGAACAGTCGGAGTTGGAGTAGGAGGAAGATGAGGAGTAGGAGGAGGCGGAGCAGGAGTAGGGCGGAGAAGGAGGAGGTAGAGAAAGAGATGGAGGAGGTGGTGAAGAAGGTGGAGAACAAGAATCTCTGGCCTGTCCTAGACCAAAGGCAGTACGCAGGGGCAGAATAATTAGTTGTTTGGTGTGTTGTGCTGTACAGCATACTAAGGAATAAAAACTGTGTGCAAATGTTTACATTTGTTACTTTTTGTGTTCATTTTGAGGGATTGTGTGTCATCACTGAGGGCAAAGTTTGCATTTTCAGCAAGATTGAATGATTTTGAATGGAGAGCGTATTTTGACCTGAAAATTGGAGAAGTTTGAGAAGTTGTGGATTTGTGTTTAGAGTTTTGAGAAAAAGAGGCATAATTTCAAGAAATTTCAAGAATCAAAAAAGCTGTAGATATTTCCCCATTGTAGAAGGACCCAGAGTAGGTGATTACACAAATGACCTGATCTATACATCCTCACAGATATATATATTATATCTACGTTTGGGATTTAAGCACTGTACATACTTACAACTTATTGAATTTTAAAACCAAGAAAAAGCCATGGAAAACAAGTGAACTTTCTCTGTCTTCTGAGACTGGAGGAAGTGGAGTTTAAAGTAGAGTAAAAGTTTAATGTCTGCCTCTGAAATATAATAACATATATATATATATATATACATATATATAAACATAACTGTACATAAGTACAGTACATAACAGTACTTGAGTTGGTGTACCTAGTTACGTTCCATCATTACCAACACCTTACTTTCAGAAATATTGAGGTACAAACAGATCAAGCTGATGTAATAAAATTGGTTTCAGTTAAAGGGGTATTCCAGCAATTTAGTATTACGCTTCCATGAAGTTGGGAGACTCAGAAGAGACAGATCTGAGATAGATTGATCAAAATCAAAGCACAAAAGGCAAAAATATCTAAATATCTTTTAGTACCAAACTAAAACATTTCCCACAATGCAACTAGATGGTGCCATTTTATTAAATGCCAACACAAATGCACCCAATTTGTAAAGGAGACTTTTTGTTAACCAGAGTTAACCCTCATGGCTTCACTATGACATCATCCGGGGATCTTTTCTCAGAATTGACAAAGCTTCTGAAGAGCCACAAAATATATTACACAACTGTCACTCCACATGACAAGTAAACAGATTTGATGCTGAAAATTGGTGGCATGACCCTTGAAGATATTCCCATCACCTTAAAACCCATAAGAAATATAGCTAATCATTCTACATTATATCTGTTTTTTTCAGTTTGTTGTCTAGTTGGTGAACTAGACAATAAATAATTTTTGAAAACAAAAAATTCGCCAAGCCAACACGCCTGTCTGTTCTTCAACATTAGCATGACAATCCTGCAGAAAGATTCAGTCAGACTGGATACTTGCTAGCATTCATTCTTCACCTATTTTCAGGATCTAGGTAACTATTTCATAACATTATAGCCTCCCATGTGTCCATATTATCCATCTTGAAGCTTATAGTGGCATAGATTGCTAGTCTAATGCTTCAGCAGGCAATTCCAATGTTAGAATCATGAAGCTCAGTGGGCAAAACTAATCTCCAGTAACTTTTAGCAATTTGGTCTAAACCTCCCTCTGATAAGAGGAGATATTACAGAAGTGAGAGAAGTGGAATCATTCTATAATCAGCTAACACATGTACTATAAGACTGAGAGGACAGGATGGCCCAGTGAGAGAATGTCAGCAATGTGGGCGTGATAGGCATCTCAGCCAGTCATTTTCTTATGTAAGACTTGGCCACCGGGACTAAGAATTCAATTGCTTCAACAGGGTGGGAAGTAGAGGCTTATCACGTCAACTCAAGCAAGAGGCAGGTTTTCGCTACAATATCTGCTGGAGCCCTAAGCAGCATTTTCCATTTAGGAACATGGTATTAAGCAGAAATGAGTCACTGGAATGTGCTATGCAAATTCCACTGAGATTTCCAACAAAAGCTGAGATAATTTGAAAATATGCAAATTCATGGTGACTGAGAGGGAAGCAGACACGACACAGCGTGAATTCAAAGCTAAAGACTCAGCAAGTCAACAAGTCTCTGAACCACAGAGTTTGTTCGTGGTGCTCATACATTAGACATGCTGTACCGAGAAAGCATTGCATCACTGTTCAGATAAAAGCACAGTATTCATCACCCTTTCTGCCATGAACATTGTGTTAGCTGTGGGTATGTGCATATTTTATGGTGTTTCCTACAATGAATAAATATCAGCAGAAAGCATTTGGTGACAGACAGAATCATGTTCTTAGCTTACCTTAAAGCTGATCTAAGAAATATTTCAAATGACAGTAGCTGTATTCACATGGACCCTAAGATTCCACTTATTCATAATAATAATCCAGTCATAATGAATGCCTCAAGCAACCACCCTAATTGGAGGAGACTGGCCCGATCTGTCCTGATCAGAAGGAATTTTCATCGGAATGGCCGGTCAATAGGGGCCAAGCGCCCAGGGAGCCCACAAGCTGTTATATCAGTCATGGAAGTCCTTGTTTTCCAAAGTCCGGCTAACCTGGGGGTTAGTTTTCAACCTGTCTGATCCCCTGAGTGATGTTTTCTTATTTTTAGGGATGTCTCTGCGTTTTTAGATTTCAGCAATAACTGTAACTGAATGCAATGTTATTATTGCCAATAGGAATGAATTAACAGAAAAGTCTTTAGATGTTTCTTTAATCAACATACATAGGTACTGTAAGTATGCAGCTAACATAAAAGATGTTTATATAGACTTTCCTTGAAGCATATGTATTACTTATCCAAATTCATATCTAGCAGAGTTAAGGTAGCACCTTGATATAGTGTTAAAATGCCATGTTGTGGTCATAGGAACCACAGTAATGTTTCAGATCACTTTGAAATAACTATCCAGACCTGATCCTTCGCTGACTGAAAGATGACAAATATGTCCACTAAGGAAACAGAGTGGTGACGTTGCTACAGGCATGAGTTGTGGCATATTGTAATACTTTAGTCACACAACACTGGGTCACGCTGCAATAAAAAGCTTTGCTTGGTAATCCTTCTGAGGTGGGAGTTCTTTCTTTGAGCTGTCAATACTTTGACTTTATCAGGTCAATAAAAAATGTGTTGACCTGCACCAAACCGGAGTAAAATTGTAAATACTGTAGCTTTTTGAGATATGCCCTTAAACTAGACCTGAAATACAATTTTGGACATTAAGCTGACTTTCAGAGTCCTTACACGCCAGTAGGCAAGTTGCTGCCTTTATTTATGTCAGCAGAGTGTGGCGGCAGCTTTCTCTGCCAGTCCAGCAGCAGCAGTGGCAGCATGGGACTAGATGTGTGGTCATGGGTCACTCACAAGAATCATTTTCCCTTTCTGACATTTTTTTAGTAGCTTGATGAACTTTGGCAGGCTGGCCTCTCTAGCTTTGATGTCCACAAAAGCCCTGACCAGTCAACTGCAATATTTGACCGAGATGCAGAAGGAGTCTCTGGTGATGCTGGTGAGGTCTCTATAATGTATCAGTGCCAGGTACAGCTAAAGCTACTTTACCCTTGTAAAAAGGCCAACTTGGGAGCTCATGAGTTTGCTACGGGAGAAGTAATAGGACAGTCCCTCCTATCATAAGATGATAGAAACCTAATGAATGCAAGATGGGAAGTAAAGGCTTATTACAAATGTTTCCATACAAGTCACTGGCTAAATGAGAACAGAAATTATGTATATGAATCGTATGCTATGGCCTTTCAGTCACCAGATCTCAACCCAACTGAAAACCTATGGGAGATTTCAAAGGCACATGTATGAGGGTAAATCAA